TATGGCAAAAGCTAAGTGCTGTTCCAAGAGTTAAATTCCCTTCACAGAACTTCAACTAGAGCAAAAAAGCCCAGTCCTGCCTGTTTGTGTCAGGACACTGGCATGTTTTGAGTTGGACTTTGTCCTCTGAAACTAGAAATTGAAAGCAGAGCAGAGAGGTGTCCAGAGCAACAGGAACAAATGAGTATTTACTGTAAAACAGGTTTTGACTCTCTCTCTTTTCCAGTCGTGGCAGCCAACGACCTGAAGTGGCAAACCTCCGGCATGTTCCGTCCGTTTGTCGAAATCACCATGATTGGGCCCCATCAGAGTGACAAGAAGAGGAAGTTCACAACTAAGTCAAAGAGCAACAACTGGGCTCCCAAATACAATGAAACTTTTCACTTGTAAGTGTGACACAAATAGCCTGGGGATCTGACTGTTGCAAGTGCAACAGATCTGATTTTTGCAAGTGCAGATGCAGAGGACAGATAGGGTTTTTCAGTGTCCACGGACAGCCTGCTCAGGCCCCAAAGGAGTACTTGAACCAGTAGCTTGGCCAAGTGTTGAGTGTCTTGGCAGGAAAAGCTAGTTTATGGAAGTTTTTGCTGTGGGTGGGATGCTGAGGTCTGTTCTATATCAGCAATGTCCTTTGGCTACCTTCTGAAATGTGTTTTTTGTCTTATCAACATATTTTACTGTGCCTTCATTATTTTAGTGAACTTTGTGTCTTTTATTGATAGAGTTGAGGCTAAAAGTTCATTATGCATTTTTAGTTCTTTTAATCTTAATGTGTGTTTTTATCCCAATTTGACCTGTGGGACATGCTTTCTGAACTTGTTTCCAAGGATACAGCCCTTGGAACTGGTAGGAAGTTGCACTGCTGAAATTGCCGTCTTTCTCAACACAGAGTATTGACCTCTTCTTATTTGGCTTTTATTATTACAAAGGCATCATCCTTCTTGGAAGGCTCGACAAAGGGAGCTGCGGGCTAGTGCTCACCCAGCTGTATGGTCAGAATGAGAGAAGAGATGAGCAGCAAAAGACTGTAAACATACTGGGGAAGAGGGACGGTCCATATCATTTTTCTTTGCCATGTGGAAAGGCAGGCTTCCTCAAAGTGAAGAGATTTTGTCCCTTTTTTAAAAAAAATTCTTTTCATTTTAGAAACATGAGAAATGTTGGGGCTGTATTTTTATTAGCATGTGCTTTAATGGAGGGTTCAGAATCTTTAACATAAAGACTTCATCTAATTAAAATATTAATTACTGAAATGAAGCAACCCTGAACAGAAACATAAACTTTTAAAGTCATCTGAGTTGAAAATCTATAAGCATGGGTTTAGTGTTCTCAGCTCCTCTCCTTTCACAGTTTCACACACACACACACACACCCCTTGATAGAGGATGTTCGTTTTTTCTTATTAAGTAGCAGGTTGTCTGTATCAGCTGTAATTCAACAAAAAATGTCCATACCCCAGGGTTTTCTGTAAAAAGGGGTTTTCTGCTCATCTAAGCTCTCTAGTTGGCTGCTGACACCTTTATTTTTCAGAGGAATTTCTGCATTCTGAGAAACTGTAAGTAAACCTGTGTGTGTTTTTCAGCATACTGGGGAATGAAGATGGCCCTGATGCCTACGAGCTCCAAGTCTGTGTGAAGGACTACTGCTTTGCTCGGGAGGACCGAGTACTGGGGATAGCAGTGATGCAGCTGAGAGACATAGCAGACAAAGGAAGCTGTGCTTGCTGGTGCCCCCTGGGGCGCAGGATTCACATGGATGAGACAGGACTTACAGTCCTGAGGATTCTCTCGCAAAGAACCAATGATGAAGTTGCCAGGGAATTTGTGAAGTTGAAATCTGAGTCCCGCTCCACGGAGGAGGGCACCTGAGCTGTGTAATGTTCCCTTTTCTCTTCTGCCTTGTGCCAATATGTGCAAGTGTTCAACAATTCTCTTTTATTAATTACAAAAGGTTTTTTCATGTTGTCTTTGTCAACTCCAATAGCGCACGTGTGCTGTACAGGAAACAAATCCATCAGTCTGATGTGAATTATTTATTTTTTAGTAGCTGGGTAAGACATCATAGAGAATGAGACAATCTCTTCTTATTTAAGATGCAAATTCTGCTTAGTGTATAATAAATTATTTTATATTGGAGGCTGGGTATGCTGGGTTTTGTTGATATGCAGCACTGTGATTTTATCTTCTGAAGTTGGCAGCCATTAAAAAGGTTCTACATAATCACACTACGATACAAACACACAACTGTGTGGAAATGGGGATAAGAAAGGTGATTTGGGGTTTTGGCAAAGCTCAGTTATCTCTCGTTGAATTCATGTACTGTGGAGCTGCCAGGGGATGTTCTGGCACAGATTATATGAGCGTCCCAACGTGATATGCAGACACCTCAACGTCTGCTTAAAACAGAAGTTGCAAATTGCTCTGAAGGTGCACAATGAATGAATGTATGACCATGGATGTGCTGCTGCGAGCATGGGTGAGACCGGTGGGACAAGTGCAGAGGAGGCCCTAAGATCTCATAGCCAAAAGCTGCAAAGGCAAGACATCAGGAGCAGGCTGCAGCTGCCCTGCCATTGTAGTTAGGTGGTGTGTCTCAGAGAATATAAATCCCCACGTGCTGCTGAGAATCCTGCATGGCTGTGGGGGAGCTGTAAGCTGCTGAACTCTGCAAGTCACACTTTGGCTACCGTGACGGACACGGTAAGGAAGGGAATAACGTCGGAGCCATGACAAGTGACGTGGCTGCTATATACTTTTTCCTCTTCAATATTCTCTTGTTAGTTTCTTGTCTTAGGACTGGATAATTTAAGACTTGCAGGCTTTCTGTAGCGTGTTGTTACCCTGGTGTAGCTGAGACCATTCCTCACTATGAACCCAGAAATGATGGCTCGCTTGGGAGAGAGCAACACTCCTCCCCTCTGCAAGCGCTCAGTCTGGAGTCCTGGCCAAGGGGCAGCAGGTCCATTCGGTTCTGATCTTGAAGTAGCAGTGGCCATGCTGCAGTTGATCCATGCTGATTGTCATTAATCTGTGATTTAGCGACACCATTGAAAATATTTTTGCACTGTCTTAAAGAAGCGTCCTGGTTTTGTTTTCTTGCAAAGCAAAACCCTGTCCTGAGCAAAGTGATTGCAGGGAGGTCAGAGTTTCTGACTGAAAATTCTTAAGCAGGAAGGTCTGGAGTAGTGATTGCACCTGAGATATGTTTGTTGGAGGGCTTCTATTGCTTTGGGGATTTTTTTGCTATTTCCAGCTGCCCTTGTGCTCTGGAAAGCACAGCTGGAACAAGCCAGTCCTTGCCCATAAAGTACTGTAATACTGTCAATAAATTCAAGGACTGCATATTGAGTGACTTTTTTTTTTTCTATTTTCTCTGACACTTGTACAGCTGTATGATACAACTCCTGTATTTCATGGGCCTGCTTGTAGAGTTCTGAGACGGCACTTCTGCTTTGTTCTTATCCATGGTGTATTATAATATTGCTCTTCAAACCTCCACGCTCTTTGTCACAATTTTGAATCATTGTATGTGCCATTGTTATGAGAACTGTTAGTACGGTCTTTAATAAACTCTTTTAGCAGCATTTGGAGTCGTCTGTTGAAGTGTAACTGTATTTGGGTTTCCTAAATCACATAGGGCGGAATCACTGCTGCATCTTTGGAAATTAACCTCGTTTAATATGTAGATGTTTCTTTGGTGCCGTAGATGCCTAGGAAAGGGTATGAGTCAGACAATTCCCCCTTCCACCGTCATGCCTTCATCTCTGACATCTTTTCCTGAAGTTCTTAGCTTCTGATAACACACTGAGACATCACAGAAAAGCCTAAAGAATAACTTCATTCCTTTTCTTCTCCCGTCTGGCCTTTAAGTCAAGTTTCCTTTGTGCTCTGGTAGCCTGCTGAAGGTGCTGAACAGAAAGACTCAGGCAGGTAGCATGGGATACTTTAGAGATAACACGTGAAGAAAAATAATTATATACTAAACTTGATTCATAGCCTTCAGTCTGATATGAACATTAATACTCTGTAGATGGTATTGACAAGAGATGAGAGGATAAACCTTCTTGATGTCAAGTAAGCTACTCCCCCTCCTCATTTTTTGGGAATGCTGCCAGCTGCCGGCAGACAAGCTCAGATAACTCAGAGACTCGTATTTCATGATAATGCGGGTCTCTGAGTTTCTGTGATCTGAGATGCCATTTTTTCCTTAGGTAACACATGCTCAGCAGTGCCAGTAACTCAGCTAACTCACAGTCCGGCTTATACCAGTATTTCTGTTTCTGGCTTCATCACAGGGAAGCTACTGAGTTTGATGGTGTATCCCATGTGATGTGTTGTTTAAAGCATGACTTTAAAGCCCCACTTCAGTACCAAGTTAGGTGATACACAGATTTGTAACTCGTCAGTATGTTGGCTTGTCATCGCTTCAGTGAGCACTGCAGTTCAGGCTATTCCAAGGAAAAGCTGTCTGTAACCATGGGGAAGAGGCCTGGACAGGGCATGAGGTTTGGCTGTTATTAACAGGGCCAGGAACTCACGGCTCCTGAATGTATTGCTTTTGCACCAGTCCAGTGCTTCTCCTGCCAACCAAGTTTGTGAACTTTTTAATCACAGAAGCAGTTTCCATGAGCATCGCTTTGTAACGTGTTTGTCTAAAACCATCTGCCCATCTTTCCTTGTTTCTTGGGTTTACACTCACTGTGACTCTTTCCAGTTTTCTTTCCTGCCTGAAAAATCACGCAGACTTTTTCTGGTACCTGTGCCAACAACAATACCGTGTTGTGCACATGGCTCTCTTCACTCTATGTGAACGCTCCTCAGAATGACAGCTGGATATGGGATAGACACGGTGTGTATCAAGTATATATACATATATAATAATAAATATATTAAATGAATAAATAGAATACCTATTTTATAAATACATAGATATTGTTGTACCTGGGATGGAAACAGCTATACTGAGTTGGAAAAGGCTGTTCCAAGAACATAGTGGCAAAGATGACAAGGAGCAGGGAGCGGCAAGTTGCCTGCTGTCCCACCCAGGAGTCATCTGCAGAGCAGAGTCACAGGTGGGACAGGAGAGAGGTGAGAGATGAGCTGGGTGCTGGAGCAGGTGGGTCTGACTGTTCTTTCTTGGGGGCTTTCTGCTGGGTCAGTGGGAACAGCAAAGTGGTTTCAGTCCAAGAGTCCATCTCACACAAATCCTACCTCCAAGAGTGGTTACAAGCAGCTGTCCAGGAAAGAGTAAGAGCAAGGTAAAGCAATGATGCTTCCTTCTGATGCACCTCATGGTGCTGGTAATTTTTAACTCGGTGATCTTCCTGACTCAATGATTGCCCTTTAGCAAATCCTAAGCTATCCTTCTCCTATCCTCCCTTGAGCCTCTGAAAAGGAGTTCCATGGATTTACAAGTTGTTGGATGAAGACCTCCTATTTTTTGTTTTGAACCTGGTTCTGACTAATTTAGTCTGGTGCCCTCCACTCTTCTGTTCAGAAAGATGCCTCAGAAAGTACTGATCCTACCTGCCGTTACCTGAGCAACAGAGATACTATAGTCTTCTATCATATCCCACCCTAATCATTGCTTTTTTGAGACTGCAGTGTCCCAGTTCATTCAATTATCCCAAACCTTAAATAGTTTTTGCCATCCTTTGAACCTTTTCCATGGATTGTTTCTGATCTATGAGGACCAGAACAGCATCTGGCATTCAAAGCCCGGACCAGCTTCCTGGCAGTAGCCTTCTGAAGACAGAATTTTGCTCCTAATCTTAATCACAGAATGTTAGGGATTGGAAGGGACCTCAAAGGATCATCTAGTCCAATCCCTCTGCCAGAGCAGGACCACCTAGATCAGATCACACAAGAACGCGTCCAGGCGGATTTTGAACATCTCCAGAGAAGGAGACTCCACAACCTCTCTGGGCAGCCTGTTCCAGTGTTCTGTTACCCTTACTGGGAAGAAGTTCTTCCTCATGTTTAAGTGGAACCTCCTATGTTCCAGCTTATATCCATTTCCCCTTGTCCTCTCATTGAATGCCACGGAGAAGAGCCTGGCTCCATCCTCATGACAGTCACCCTTTACATATTTATAAACATTAATGAGGTCTCCCCTCAGTCTCCTCCAAGATAAACCCAGCTCCCTCAGCCTTTCCTCATAAGGGAGACGCTCCACTTCCTTAATCATCTTTGTGGCCCTGCGCTGGACTCTCTCAAGCAGTTCCTTCTCCTTCTTGAACTGAGGGGCCCAGAACTGGACACAATATTCCAGATGTGGCCTCACCAGGGCAGAGTAGAGGGGGAGGAGAACCTCCCTCGACCTACTAACCACACCCCTTCTAATACACCCCAGGATGCCATTGGCCTTCTTGGCCACAAGGGCACATTGCTGGCTCATGGTCATCCTGCTGTCCACCAGGGCCCCCAGGTCCCTTTCCTCTGTGCTGTTCCCCAACAGTTCAGTCCCCAACTTGTACTGGTACATGGGGTTATTCTTACCCAGATGCAAGACTCTACACTTGCCCTTGTTGTATTTCATTAAATTTAAGAGCAATAGTAGTTCAAAACAGCTTCCAGGCTGTCAGCAGAAGATGCTGGGAGGAGCAGGGAGCAGGTGTGCTGCCAGACCTCCCAGGTGACAGACCTTTTTCAGGAACCCAGAAAGGGAAGTTCAAGAGGTTGCTGCAGCTTGGGAACTCAGTGTTACTCAGAGCAAGCCCGAGAGAGAATGAAGCCGCCTTGCTGAGATTCGGTGGATGGTAGAGAGCTGTTAACAATCCTTTTATTTCTAGCCTTTATTTGGAAAGATGAGATAATTTTCTAAGAATAAAAAGAAAGAAAGAAAGCCTGGCTTTTGGAGTTAACAGATTTTGTGATCTTTGGGAAATTCCCTTCTAAAGCTGTGGCCAACTCAGGGCTGTGGCCGTCAGAAAAATGAGTTGAGGGACTGATATAGCAGAACTCAAAGGGATGATACGTGCTCAGGAGCACGTGGTGGGGATAAAAGGGACTTACAGGAAAGAACGTTGTGTTTCGAGGTGTGAGATGGGAGACAGCAGAGATCCAAGGGCAGAGGTGGAGAGGGAGGTTTGTCCATCTTCCTGGAAGAGATTAGCAAATGGATGGAGACAAGGTGGGCAGGAGAGTAGGAAGGTTTGGGGAGTGACTTGGACAGCCTGACAAGGCAGCCGGCAGTTCAGGCATGGGGTTCAGTTTCCCTGTTTCTGGGCAGCAGCAGGGAGGGACGAGACAGCATAGTGGCAGCAGAGGAGGTCAGGCTGCTCATGGGATTTCCTCCAGATATG